ATGCGTCTTCTGAACGGCTTGATACATTAGCTGTCAAATTCAAAACACACAACATGTTGTCTGAAATGATCAGAATAATAGTTGCGTTCGCGTAGCTGTTAATTGTTCAGGTTTAACCAAAAGTAGGGGAAATTGAGAGAGCAAAGTGACATTTCATTTTGAGGGGAAGCTGCTGGTTTCTGCTGGAAAAATTTTTGCCAACAGCAAAGCAGCTGATCAAAAACAGCTGGTTGGAATAAACGAAAATCCCGAAATTGAATTTTAGCATTTTAGAAAACAAATATGAGCAAATATTACAATATGGAAGAAGTAAGTAGATCTAGTTTTTGTTAAGTTTATATATATGTGCATATGTATGTATAATAAATTGTAATCTTTTTTACTAGGTCCCCAACAAAAGGATATGTAGTCGTGAAACGAATGAAGATGAACTTCCAACTAAGCCAGGAAGTACCGCAGAGCAGGATAATCCCTCCATGTCAATAAATCAGCACATTGGAAACTTCGAAGGCATTTTTATAAACATTTTCTTTCGGTCTTAAAAACTTGCCTTATTTTTTTACAAAAGCCGAGAATATGGATGCAAAAAAAGCAATGGAAAGAAAACAAATTGTTAGTGCGCTTATGATTGCAATGGAATCATCTTCATCAGAAAGTGACAGTGAAAGTGAGAACGAAGAGGAGTTAGCGATAATGCAAAAGTTATCAACAAACTACGACTTGTACTCAAATATATTGCTGCTGTTCAGTAAAAGACAGCCTCGTAACTGCGTTAATAATTATATTGAGCAAACAGTGCCAACTTACACTGAAAGAGAATTTAGGATCAGTGTTGCCGCGCCGTCTCAAGAAAATGTATCCCAAGCCAAACCAAGCCAAAAATGTATCCAAATGTATTCAATTTTCTTTTTTACATATACATCTCATAACTTGTAAGAAAACCAAACATTTTCATGAAAAAGACATAATTTAACCCATGCTAAGGACTTGGAATACATGTGCATAAAATCAAACATTTGTAATTTCAATTTATAAAGTACATTTTTTGTGTATAAGTATTTTGCAAAGTAAATATAATAAATAGCAAGTACACTCTAAAAAGAGCATGTAAAACTACTACTGAAAAGTATCTATTTTTCAACAAAAATGTGTATAAATATACGTATAGGATGTTCAGTATTTGATTTTGAACTTGAGATCTTTAAAATATACACATAAATACACATATGTAGAATGTTTAAAATTGCAAAAATTTTCAAACTACAAATACAATTCCTACTAATAATAAACATTACTTTATTTTAAACATTGTATGTGTAAAAGTAAACAGGCAATGATTAATTTTATTACACGGCTTGCAAATTTGCATACATTAAAAGAGGAAACTGGTTACCTCTCTCAATATGCGCAAATAAACAAAATTTTTTAGAGTGTATTTATAGTCATTTCAGTAAAATTCATAAAAGTTTGCTTAAATAAATCAAATTTAGTTTTTTAAACTACATTGAAATCTTCTTGTTTTTTAAATTTACAAATGAAAATATATGATATGAAAGAGATAACTACAGAAAGAGTATAATTTACTTTACATATATCGTCGTTTGAAGTACAAAACCGCGTATCGTCATTCTGCAAAACCGCGTAACTGACATTTGCTGCCAAAAATTGGATTTGCTCACACAAGCTCTTGACTTCGTCCTGAAATATACTAGCCAGAAATGCGATTGCTTTATAAAAAAGGGAACCATTTTGAAATATAAGTGTTTTTACTCTCTAGAAAACAATTTATGCAACGTCACATACGCGGTTTTGCATTATCTTGATACGCGGTTTTGCATTTTGTTGCGGTTTTGTACTTTGAACGACGATATGTATGTATATTAAGATCTTGCTTAAAGCATCCTTTTAAGCTAATTAAAGCAATTGCGGTTATACCTATTTTGGTGAGATCTCTTCATATGGTCATTGCTTCGTTCACAAAAAATAAAATTCTTTAATTTCACGCTTAAGTAGTGATTCTTTATACGTTTAGAAAACGTGATGCTTTCTACCATCTTTAATGAAAATCGATTTTTGAACAAAAAAAACTTTATAGGAAATATACAATTTTGGCCTATTTAAAAAAGTATCCACTTTTATACTGACCGGAAAAAATAAGTATTCCGCAAAAATTCGTCAAAAAATGTATCCAATTGGATCTATTTAGATCCAAACGGCATCCCTGTTTCCGAATTTCCAAGTCTTTTTGAAAACCTAAGCGAAAGGTTCTTAGTTTCGGATTTTTATTGCAATCTTCGGGGTGACAAAAGACTCTCGGAAAAGACACATTTATTGTTATTTTTGTGATTTACTGGCCACGCTGGATGTTGTTACTGAGATTTAGCCGACCGCTTCAATCTTTCTCTTTCAACGATTTGTGTCGTGATTAACAGAGTAACGATGTTCTTAAGCTCCCTAAGTCAACAATTTATTGTATGGCCAACCCAAGAGCAGATGGAGGAATCAAGTAGATTCTTTGACAGGAAATGTTTATTTTCCAAGGCAATAGGTGAAATATTCAATTGTCAATGAACTTGTATATAAATTATATTAATTCAACTATTTAGGTTGCATTGATGGTACGCACATAAGGATAGACCCGCCAAGTAAAGGAAAGGACGATTATATTGACCGCAAAGGAATGACGTCAATATGTCTGCAAGCGTTTGCAACGAAAATAAAAAAATTCTGAACATTTTCGTTGGCTATCCAGGTTCTTGCCACGATAGTTGGGTATTTAAGAACTCAACGCTTTACAACAGATTGCCCTCTTATTGTAAAGGTAACAACCCTTGAAATCTTTACCATCACATAACACAGCATTTGATATGTTTCAGATTATTACCTGTTAGGTGATTCCGCATATCCCTGCAACAAATACCTAATCACGCCTTACAAAGATAATGACCATCTAACAAACGCTAATAAATTGTTTAATATTAAATTAAGTTCTGGACGCATAGCTATAGAACATAGCTTCGGAATCCTTAAACAACGTTTCAGGCAGTTATATCACTGTAAGCTACGAGGCATGAAAAAGATCTGCCATTTTGTAAGGGATTGCTGTGTTTTACATAACATTGCCGACGAGGAAGATTTAGAATTTACGGCAGAGGCAACTCCGGAGTTCAATGAGGAAATCACCGTGCATGGCGAAGTTGCAAGGGGAAACTCGGTGAGAGATCCGATTTGTCGCGATATACAGCTCCGCCGAAATCAAAATGTTTAACATATACATACAACATGTTTAACATATACAAGTGGTCAAAGTTCAGGTCTTCGAAAAATTAAATTCCCTATATTTTGAACAATTGTGAACTGCTTTTTAAATTGGTATCGTTTTAAAGGCGGTTAAACCCCTTTCTTTTAATATGCATATTTGTATACTTTGTATATTAACATTTGAGAAAACACTTAAAAGGAAAAAATAGCTATTTTTCTTATAAAAAATATTTTAAACAAAAAAATTACCAGTTAGTACAATTGAATACTTTATTTAAATAAAATAGAGAATTACCTTTAATTTGTATATCTAGCTTGTTATGTAAAAGATCAAAAACCATGGTGTTTTTATATTTTTATAAGCCTTAGGGCCGATTTTTCCAACTGAACTTAACTTAGTTCAGACTTAGTCAAGAATAAGCTGATTAAAAACTAGGCTAACTTTTGGCTTAGGTTAATCTAGATGGTGAAAATGAACTTGGACTTATTCATTTTCACCATCTAGGGTAACCTAAGCCAAAAGTTGACTAAGTCCAAACTAAGTTTAAGTTGAGATGGAGAAACCAGCCCTTACACTTCTGTTACATATGCGTTTGCTTTATTTTTAACAGGGCTGTGGGTGAAGAAGAACGAATTAACGCATAAAACAATATTAATTATTTGTTTTATTAAAATATGATATTCAATTATATTACTAATTAGTGACCTTTTTGTATTTTTTTTTTTAAACAAAAGGTATTTTTTCCTTAAATCTTTTAAAAACCATTTCCAAATTTTCTGAAATATGAAGTTTTTAATTTTTCAAAAATCTGACGTTTGAACCCTTATAGCATCTGTAATATAAGTTTACCATATAAATAAGAGAAAAGGCGGAGCACGTCTGTATTTTTACTTTTTTTGTTTTTTACATACAATAATTAAAAATAATCTTTTACCAAAGGTTCAATTTCGAACTTCGATGGCCCATACCTTGATTATACCTAAATTGATTTTTAACAAATCTAAAAACTCAAAATATTTTTAAAAATTCACATTATAAATTTGGAATTTCGAGGACCATTTGTTTGAATTTTTGTCAATTTTTATCACACATACATATGTATGTACATTGTTTTAAAATTTGGTTTATATGGTATATGTTTTAAAATTAACTACATCACGAAAAAATATCGTGAATATTTCGAAAAAAGATACATTCCTTCACTTTAATGGGACACTGTATGTATTTATTTTTATTCTGGTTTTTACTCTATTATGTTTGTACTATTTCATTACCCAAATCATTTTTAGATAATACGTAAATATATTAAAGATCGTTATGTTTTAAAAGACTTATTCCAAATAGCATGTAATATATTGAGTTTATGAAAACATAGTTTATACTACAACAAAAAACATAAAAATATATTTTCTACACTTTGTGCAAAACTCAGGAAAATTCAATAAATTTGCATACAAGTTTGCAACTTTCTGATCACATTTTTAGGAACAATTTTGAAAATGCAGTGGGTAAAAACTAATAGGGTAGCGAAACACAACCGAAACCATGTACGCCCAAATTTCAAAGGTTGTAAAAAAATTCAGCTAAGTTTCATCAACATATCAAACTTTTTAATCAGATTTTTTAGAAAAAAGTTTGGTATGCAGTTTTATTTTAGCATAATAAAGTGGAAGTGTGAGGTTGCTGAAAAATCCTCCTGATTTTTAATAATTTTTAACCTGAAGGGGTTATTCTTCCATACAAAGTGTTTTCGAATTTATTTTATATAAAAAAAAATAACACCGCCAACAAAACAATTATTGAAACTGCACACCAAACATTTTTCTAAAAAATCTGATTAAAAAGTTTGAAATGTTGAAATGAAACTTTTACTGAATTTTCTTATTCTTGTACATGGATATAGGTATACTCATCTTTTTAAAAGATCTACTAAAGATTTTAAAATAGAATTTTTTTCAGTCTGTAGCTGTTCTCTTCTTTCAGCACGAGCTTCCTTTCTCCTCATGCTTTCCTCCTTAATTCTTATGTTCTCCTCCAGCAACTTTTGCAGATTTTCGTCAATTTTTTCCCGTTTAGCATCGCGAAGCCCCGTTTTCTCCATAAACTACTCTATTGCTGACTTTCTTTTTCTCGAGGTAGAAGGTGCCGCGTCTAAAACTTATTTAAGCACAAAAAATACTCATTTTAGTTACATATGATTCTATACGTTAATACCTGGAGAGGCTGGAGAAGCTGGCGAGGAACCTTCATCCGCTTCAGCCGACACTTCAACCTCATTATCGATAACGTATTCCGGATGAACTGATGCTCATTCTTTAAAAATTTCATCCAGTTCACTATAATTACAAATGAAAACAATTGATAATAATTAATAAAATTAAAATTGTTTATAAGAGTCTCAAAGCTTACGCTTGATAAGGACAAGTTTGTCTTTCTCTGCCTGTTTGGGAGTTGTGGAGCTGAACATTTTTGTAGCGGCGCTCCAGAGTGAAAAACTTGCCCTCCACCTGCGCAGCATTATAAAAATGCCCTTTAGCGCAGAGCTCGTTCGTGATGGTGTTCCACATTTGCTTTTTATTTCTTAGGTTAGCAGTCTTCCCAACCTTAGGTCACAACTCCTTCACCAGCGCAAGCAAAACTTTCGTAGGGGCATCGAGCCATAACAATTTCTTTTCCTGGCTGCTTCCACCGGGAATGGGAACAAAGTACATATGCTTTCGTTCGGTACTGTTCGAGATTCATCGATTGCAGCAGTTGCCATGCCAGCAACACCCTGCGTGAAAATAATTTCTTCATAGGCTTCATCGCCTGCATGCTGACAAGCTATTTGTACGCGATAGTCTTGATCTAATTTAATTTGAAAATTTTTTGTTATTTGTACAACGATTTTGGGGTGGGCATAATCACGACATTGAAACACATAATTTTCAGAAGTACTTACCACTTTCAACTCTACGGAATGTACCAGGAGAGCAGTGTACTTCCAACTTTTTATTACTTGCCATCTTTTGCTAAGGGCTATTTGCAACTGATGCGTCTGTTGGTTAAAAATATCATTAGAAATTCCCACTTTCCTCAGGGCCACTTTCACAAAACCGATGTACCTTTTATTGAAATCCAGCAGCGCGCTAAAAAGTGTATAATGTATTGAAGCGAAAAGGCACACGTTGTTTCCACTGGGGCTGATTAAAATTGATGCGTCTGACCAGGACCACTTCACAAAACTACGGACAGATTATTGTACTTTACGCAAATCAATTATATCAAAACTGTAAACTACCTCTAATTAAACTTGTAAGAACTCCGTAATTATTCGTTAAGTCATAAACTGCATTAGTAGTAACACTTTGTGAGCGCTTTGCTTATGTTTTAAATTTTACACTTTTGAATGTAAACAAAATTTCAATCAGCTGTTCGTCTAACTTGCAAGTTTCTGCAAATTTTCTGTTCGCGTACTATTTTGGATATTTTTCTCTTGTGAGAGAACAGATGACATTTCGCCGGAATTTGGCAGTTGGTTGGTTTCTGCTGGAGATTTTAAACGAACGCACCTAATATTACGATCATCTAACACGCAACTGTTCAGTTGATCAGAAGTACAAAGCAACGCGTTCAGAAGGTGCAATCGCAACAGTTACTGAGCTGTTGCGCCTTCTGAACGTGCCCATAGATTCGAAGTTAGCACAAAATGAAATTTTTTTGTTTGTTGTTTACAAAAAAATACTTGCCAAGTATATAAGTCAAAATTTTTAAATATATATGGCTTTCATTCATTTCTTCATAGAGTTGGTGCTTCTTTTATAGGAAAATTCATACGGCTTATGAACAGATTCATACCATGTAAATGCACCATAAACTATGAAAAAATGAAAGGGAGAAGTATACATGCCTTCTATAATTTTGACTTATGTGTATATTTGCAAGTCTTTGTGTAAAAAACAAAAAATACACATTTTCATTTCTTTGCCATCTTGGAAAATATAGGCTTATTTTTACTTAAATGTGATATAAAGCTCATTAAAATGTTCTGTAATGTCCTGTTTTTAAGTTTGTTATCATAGTGCTAGTATAGTATTTTGATTGTCCACTATACGTGAGTTGCTTCTATTGAAAAAGTTCTAGTACAAAGAATTTCTTTGTTTTGAATTTGTTTGTTTATTGTTTTTAATTTTTAAAATTCATACTTTTGACATGTATGTGAATGGCGGAGTTGCCGCTTTCCTCCTTTTCGGTGGGTTTTTATATTAAAAAGGCATCAAAATGGGAAAAATCCTCCTTGGAATCTCTGCATCTGTTAAACTTTTTATGGGGAGATGTATGAAAATTCAACTTGCTATAATTTCATATGCTTAACAGTATCACAACAGTATGTTTACAGTATCTCCCCATAACTCTTCATATGAAAAAATGTATTATATGCATCCCACTCGATATCATTGAATTCCTCATAAGAACATGTAGTCCCTCTATTTTAGCGTATCAACAGTTCATAAGGCTTCATACCTTGTAAATTCACCATAATTCGTCGGGGAAAATTTTAGAATGGTAACCCCCGAGTACGGAATTAAGGAAAATACGGGGGGTAGAGGGGGTTCTAAAGGGGGTATATGTAAAGTTTTAAAGCGCGGAACCTTATAGTTTTTAAGTAATTTGTTATTAAAGTTTGTAATTTTCACCAACTTGTATGGGACTATTTCACAATATATAATGCACTTTCCACTAAATTTGGACGTTATTTTCACTCAATATATGCGCAGTAAGAGTGTGCACGTTCGAACAAATAAATACTTTAAGTATATTACAGCTTTTTTATCAAAAATTGATTGTTTTTTAATTTTATGAGAGTATGTATAGCAGAATATGTGCAGATGGCAGCAGGACTGTGTTGCCATATCTAAAAAAACCAAGAGTGGAAAGCAAGACCAAAAGAAGATACGATAAGGTTATTTTGTTCAGATTAAAATAAATAGTAGGGGGATTAGGGGCTGAACACCTTTCTGCGTAAGTGGCCTTCGGCCGCGCTTAGGGATTATAACCCTCACAACGTAGAATTCTCCTTTCGGTGTTGCCGAAGAAAAGGGGCCGAACGCCTTTTGCATCTCTCTGCGTAGGCGGCCTTCGGCCGCGCTTATGGATTATAAACCTTACTACGTAGAATTCTCCTTTCTGTGTGAACTAACTGGGGCTACCGCCCCAGTGATATAACCTTGGGAAAGGATGAGGCAACTAGAATTACCTTTCTGTGCGGTAAACCTGGGGCTGGCGCCCCAGTGATGTCTATTTTGGTTGGCCATAAAGGAAAGCCAACTGCACCTTTCTGCGTAGGCGGCCTTCGGCCGCATTTAGGGATTATAACCCTACGTAGAACTTTTCTTTCTGTGTTGCCGGAAGAGGGGAATATGACCCCAAGCCCCCTACTATTTATTTTTATCTGAACAAAAGAACCTTATCGTATTTTCCTTTTAATCGAATTTTCTTTTGGTCTTGCTATCCACTCTTGGTTTTTTAGATATGGCAACACAGTCCTGCTGCCATTTGCACATATTCTGCATGTACTCTCATAAAATTAAACAACATTCAATTTTTGATAAAAAAAGCTGTAATATACTAAAGTATTTATTTGGTTGAACATGCACACTCTAACTGCGCATATATTGAGTGTAAATAACCCGTAAATTTAGTGGAAAGTGCATTATATATTGTTAAATAGTGCCATACACGTTGGTTAAAATTACAAACTTTAACAACAAATTCCTTAAAAAGTATAAGGTTGCGCGCTTTGAAACTTCATACAGGGAACTATTTGACCCCTCTCTACCTCCCATATTTTCCTTAATGCTGTACTGCGGGGTTACCAATCTAAAGCCCACCCCATGATACAATAATTTTTAGAAGGTAGTTTCACTTCAAAATTTTTGACATAAACCGTGTCTGTGACAATCACGCAATGTGGCCACTGCTACGATATAGAACTTGGGGATTATCGCTTGTTATTTTAGATATTTTTTAACAGAACATGTAAAGATTTATATGTTTCATAATTTTTATTTTTAATATAAATATACGTATTTTATACATACATTTTTGCCACTGCTAATCACATGAATAAAAATCATAAAAATGAAAATATAACAGCAATATTTCTTGTTTATAATGGATTAGATCCATCGCACACCACGGACTTTATCGGTCGCCAATTTAGATGTGATCGCTAGTCTTTCCATTGCACCACAACTTATTGGTCAGAGCGATTAAGCTGGTGTAATGTGCGCACCTCCATACATCTTCATGTACATATTTCAAGCGAGCCCTATCATTTAAATAGGCGGCCGATAAAGTCTGTGGTGTGCGGTGGCTCTTATAGCTGCGTCCTTACATCTATTCCGTGTGTTAATTAATTTGCAGTTAATTTTTTATGAAGAAAATTATTACAAAATATTCGAAAATTTCTCTTCTTATATGTTTGGCTTTTCTTTGTTTTATTTTTCCAACGTCAAAAGCTGGATTTTTTTTTGAAAAAGTTGGTACAACAAAAAATACGAAACACGTTTTCTGTCAGATAGCTAACATGGCGGATAAGAAGAAGAAGTGAAACTACCTTCTAAAAATTATTGTATCATGGCCCACCCATTCGTCGCAGCTCGTTAAATTATTGAGCGTAAGTCCAACTACTAATAGCTGCAACCCTACTGGTTAAATACCAACACATCCAATTCTCTCCTGCGTAATAATTGTAACTCTCCTGGCTAAACTTCAACTCATCCAGCTCTCTTTTCTACGAACATCGTGCTCTTTTCGCTGTAGCAGTCGTCATGATAAGTTCAACTTTATATTTAAGCGTAAGAAAGAGCACAAATGTAAGTACATATGCTCATACTGAAATATGAACATATATGTATATTCAAAATGTAAAATAATTTAGATTTTCACGTAAGTTCATCAATTTGCTGTAAAATTCTTGAATAAATAAACCGGATTAGTTCCGAGCACTGAAGCGTAAACTATTGCTCTAAAATACTCAACATCCCAAAATATTTAGTGCAGAGATTTGACACGTGCGGGGACTGGTGCGAAAATATAACCTCTGCGATTATCGTGACGTAAAGCTTCTGTTTAAAGAATTTAGTATATTCTTCTCTGGATATCTTCGACCTTCTAAAGATGTTTTCGCCGACCCGCGCTAACAATAGGTATGTACTAGTACGCCCAACTATCTAAAGTTTTAGAAAACTTTTATTGGTTTTGCGTTCTCGTACCCAAAAAACTTGCAAAGTAGGGGAAATTGAGAGAGCAAAATGTGAAAGAGAGCTGCAAACTTCTGCTGAAAAAATTTTTCCCAGCTAAAACTTGCAAGTAAAAAAATCAGCTGATCACAAACACATGTTTGTAAATAAACAAAAGAAAATATGGCCTTTTTGAGTTATTATTGCAATTTTTATTATTAATGCTAGTATACAACTAAAATGTGCGTAAATTTAATAAGCACAACATTCATTGAGTTTATTTTTCGTTAATTTGCTATTAATCTCCAGTTTGTTTACTTTAGTGTGCTGACTTTGGTTGCCGTATGACATTTTACGTTTGTACCATAATTTACCTTTAAACATACCAAAATAGATTTAAATGCAGCATGCTGAAATGTTGGTTTGCTGAAGCTTTCGGTTTCGGTAGGTTGATTGTTGAAATGAAAATTTTATAATTTTAAACCTAGTCTATTACATTTTTTTGGATCAATGATGGGTGTTTGGAGGAGATACTATTGTTTTTAATGCGTCACCATGTGATATCAAAAATAATTATGAGAAAAATAACTTATTCATTCCGATATAATTAAATCGTATTTTAAAAAGGTTTTTCTTATCCAAAACTATTCAAATGTATAAAATGCCAAATCGGAGGAAAATGCACCAAGCAGAAAATAAATTGCCAAATTAATCACCAGTGGCAACTGTGCAAGTGATCAGCTGTTTCGAAGGTTGCAAGTTTTTGCAAATTTTGCGTTCTCGTACTTTTGTTGATATTTCGTCTCTTTGAGAGCGAATGCTGCTAAATTCTCAGAACTTTTGCTGCTGGAGAATTTTGTCCTCTCAATGCGAGTACACACCTAATACCGCAAGCAAATCGGAGGAGCCAACCCTAACGGCGAGTGTTGGCGCGACAACGTGTGCGCTACCCAGCTCAAATGTTCCAGACCATTCGCCGCATGGTTTCTCGCAAAGTGCTACATCTATAGATGGGTACGCACAGGCAGGGGAACGTGTGTATGTAAGTAACGTGACTGCAGCAATAGATCTGGGTGCTAAAGGCTCGCAATGTGCTACATCTATAGATGGGAACGCACCGGCGAGCGGCGCTACTGACGGTAGCTATATGGCACCTACGACAATCAGGCAGGGCAATCCTTCAATCGATTCTATACTAAATGAGCAAGCGCTAGGGCAAGTATTTACACCACCTAATATGGTAAGAGCAGATATTTTTTCGCCAGACAATCCATTTGATACCAAAGCTCCGCATCGAGCTGTTTCGAGTCCATCTGCTGCGTGGCCCGCAAACTCCACGGTTCTTATTAGTATGCCTCCGCGTTCAGGGTATATATCTACATCAGCACAACCATCTCATTTCTACATTCCTAGTAGACAGTATGCCCCTCTAAACACAATAACGCAACGAACGCAAGTCTTAGGCACAAGTCACCCCTTCTATTCCACCACTCTTCATTATGACGACGGCTTAGCAGGTGCCGGATTCAGCGCACCACAAACCACTCCATATCAAGCCGTACAAACTACAAAGCAAGCATCGCACTCAACCGCAGTGCCCGCTGATCAACAATTTCTTTGTTATAATGCGAACTCAATTCCAATAACTGGACCTGTTCCGACAGTCTCTTCGACAGGCATATTCACCGCTTCGATTCCATCGCATGTACCTGGTGGCTTCTACAGCAGGCAACAAGGCGCCCAATGGTCGATTGCACATTGTCAACAATGCAGATAGCATCCAGGCGGGTTGTTAATAAAGAGCTACCGGCATTTTTTGGCAAACAAGAAGAATGAATAAAGATTCATTGTTAATTATGAGCAATCTACTGAGTGGTGCGGATTTTCAGAAGCGGAGAATCTTATCCGCCTCCAACGCTGTCTGCAAGGTGCTGCTTTAGAAGTAGTTAAAGGCAAACTGATGACACCTTCAACCGTATCACAAGCCATCGAAACTCTTCGCAAGTTATACGGCAGACCTGCCGTCATACACCAAGCATTACAAGGAAAGCTAAGGCAAGAGCCGGCAGTTCGCCACGACAATTTAGAAACTCTTATACAGTTTGCTCTTGCTGTCCAAAACTACCGCTCGACTATGAATGCTATTGGACTTTCGGCGTACTTAAACGACCCAATGCTTCTATCCGATTTATTAAGTAAGCTGCCATGCGACCTAAAAAGGAATGGGGTAGGCAGGTAGTAAATATGATAGTAACTGATTTAGGTAAATTTGACGACTGGCTCTTTAAATTAGCGAGGTGTGCTAGTCAGGTAGTTTCTGTGGGCGCAACAACAACAGTAAGCGGAATAAAAGGTAAACACTCAAAGTCCAGACTTCAGTGCATGACGTAGTATAAAGTAAAAGCGATAAAATGAGTGGCCATCCACAACAACAATGCCTTTATTGTAAAGAAGATCATAATTTGCAAAAATGTAAGAAGTTTCCTTTATTAGCTATTAAAGAGAGATGGCAAATTATACGTGAGAACAAACTGTGTATTAGATGTTTTAAAAAGGGTTGTGATATCAATGGTTGTACAAAACTACATAACGCTTTGCTTCACGCAGATGATGTAAAGGTGCATAATGATACTGCTGTTATGCTACACACTAAAAGAGAATCAAATAAAATAATGTTTCGTTATGTTCCGGTCACGTTATATGGAAAGACACATTCAATAGAAACGTATGCGCTAGTCGACGAAGGGTCAGCATGTACTTTACTGGAAAGTGACGTCGCTTCGAGGTTAGGCTTGCAAGGACCATCCCGAGAGCTCTGCTTAAGATGGACTGGAGATCACACCCAGTCCGATCCAACTTCAAAACTGGTAAGTGTTGACATCTCATCATGCGACAAGTCGTCGCGATACACCTTGCGTAACGTTCGCACAGTGGCAAAGCTCGACCTTCCCATGCAAACGCTATCCGAATCGACATTAAATTCTCGTAACCAGTTAAATAAATTGCCAATAAAGCCTTATGAGTCTATGCGTGCAACTATTCTGATCGGCATAGATAACGCGAAACTGGGCGTACCTTTGGAAGTAAGAGAAACTAAAGGCGATCATCTCATTGCCGCTAAATGTTGATTAGGTTGGGCGGTGTATGGCCGCGTCAGCGCTGTTTGTGAGACTTCCAACAGATTTCTACATATTTGTTCGTGCACTGCCACAGAACGCTTGGATGACATTACTAAAGCTAACTACGCTTTAGAAGCGGAAGGTGTATGTAAAACCGACGACCCCCTAAAATCCAAAGCAGATGAGCGCGCGTATGCTATTATGAGATCCACAACTCTATACCTGCCTCTTGAAAAGAGATACGAGACAGGACTGTTGTGGAAGTTTGACAAAATAGTCACGACCAACTCTCTGCCTATGGCAATGCGGCGTCTGAATTGCCTTGAAGAAAAAATGATACGAGATCCTAAGCTGATGGATTTTTTAAACAATAAAATTAACAGCTACGAAGAAAACGGTTATATCCGTAAGCTGAAGAAAGGCGAATCTATCCTATCGGAAAAGACCTGGTTCTTACCAGGGTTGGGCACTTTTGCACTACACTTTCTTTGTCCATGCCTCCGCGCCATACACCATATTTAAGAACTTTTTTTTACTGTGAATTTAATATATTATCTACATATGTAAAATAATAGCCGTTTCCATGATTGCACTTAACTCAAACACTACTGGATAGATTCAGTCAAATTTTCAGAGATTGTACCTTGCATATATGGTCCTATTATAGGGTAGTTTAGTATAAATGAAAAAATAGTATCAAAAATGACCCTCTAAGGAAGTAAGGTTAAATCTATAACATGTACATATATTAACTTTTTACATTTTGCTAACTCAGGTGTACAAAATTATAGAATAAATGTAATAGGCCGAAATCTGCTGAAATAATAAAAACAGTTATATCTTCGAATCTGGTTACGCCTTGCGTTACAAGATGGAACTCATTGTTCGATTCGGTTCAGAAGTTAATAGAAGTCAAAAACAGATTAGGTGAACTATGCTATATGGTGGAAATTTCTACTTTCAATGAGGAAGAAATTGAGTATTTGGAAGAATATGCAAAAGTAATGCACCCTATCGCAGAAGCTATCGACTTCCTTCAATGAGAACAAAACATTTTTTTTGGTTACTTTATTCCAACTTTACTATCCATCAAAATAAAAATGCGACGTTTAGCTTCCGAAAACTTGAAATATTTGACGGAAACTAATAATCAAATGCAATCAAAGCTAATGCAAAGGTTTGAAAAATATTTTAGTTTGCACTCTGACTCTTGGGATGCAGTTATTGCCGCAATTCTCATTCCCGATATCAAACTAAAATTTTGCAAAACTTTACTAGAAAGTGCTGATTCATACGGTCTAGAAGATGTTCGGGATAAATTTAAAGAATATGCGATGGAGTTTAAAAGACAACCGGTAGGGGAAGATAATAATTTAAAGCCTTCCATAAGTGCTAATACATCATTTCTCAAATTCGATGAGGAGTCTACAGGTATTTGATTAAAAGAAACCAACCTGCAAAAGTTTTGTAAATAATTTGCTTTTTTAGATGAAAATCGGTATACGTGTTGCCATGGCGGAGCTATAGCAACTGAAGTAGTTTTGTAACTGCGCCAGTGGAAAGATTTTTTCCTTTGCTGGGATTGTCAATCGATCGACAAGGCAAAATCTTTCAGACCATAACTTTGAAATGTTGGTACTAAAAAAGGCAAATAAAAAATGAATTATGTTTTTATATTTTTGAAGAGACGTACTATAATTAGAAGTATCAAGAATATTGTTTATTTTGAATATATTTCTCTTTACTGCTTCAGCTAATATAGTCTTACTTTATTCTTCAAGAATAACTATGTCATAACAATAAAACTTGTTTACAGCCAAAAGCAATGTCATTTTACTGACAAATTTTAATTATCAATAAAGGTTTTCACTATCACTAAATGTTAAGTCGTTGTGCAAAATGTTTTTCACTGTCACTAAGGGTTTAGTGATAGTGCAATTTGTTTTTAACTATCACTAAATGTTCAGTGATAGTGCATTTTTCACTATCACTAAAATTTTCAGTGATAATGGATTCTGCATTTTAACTATCACTGAATAGACAGTGGTAGTGAAAAGCGTATTGCATTAATTTTTTAGTGCATTGTGCCCAACCCTGGTTCTAACCCCTCTTCACAGTTGCGAACAAAAATAAAAACAAAACTCGGATCGTATGGGATGCCGCCGCTGCGGTTGAGAACGTTTCATTAAGTAGTTATTTGATGTCAGGCCCAGATCCTTTGACGTCCCTAATCGGCACACTGATGCGATTTTGTGAACGGCGTGTGGCTAACGCAAGGGACATCCGTGAAATGTTCCATCAAATTCTTATAAGAGATGAGGACCAAGCGTCTCAATTATTTTTATGGTGGAACGGAAATCGGTCGAGGCAACCTGATGTGTATGCAATGATGGTTATAAGAGGCAACCTGATGTGTATGCAATGATGGTTATGACTTTCGGAGCCGCCTGCTCACTGTCTTTGGCAAACTACGTGAAAAACGAAAACGCATCGCGTTTCAGCAATATATACGCGCATGCAGTCAGTACGATTCTTAAAAATACCAATGTTGACGATTGGTTACACAGTGCTGACGACGAAGAAGAGTTGATCGAATTGGCATCACAAGTTAAGTATATACATGGAGAGGGCGGCTTCGAAATGCACAATTGGCTCTCTAACTCAGAAAGAGTGCAGCAAGCGATTTCAGGTTCGACAACACAAGCAGAGAAGTGCCTTGAGAAATCAGGTACCTTGGTTGAAAAGGTTTTGGGAATGTGGTGGCTTCCACAAACGGATGAGCTGACTTTCGTGGAGAGGTTTGACAAGTCGGTCTTCGAGGAAAGTGCTATCTACACAAAGCGTATTATTCTGCGCATCATCATGACGATTTATGATCCCCTGGGATTATTGGGATTTTATTTAATCCGGGCAAAAATCATAATGCAAAACTTTTGGCGTAGCGGCGTGAATTGGGATGATGCGATTGGCGCTAATGAACGAGAGGAGTGGCAATCATGGGGGCGATTATTACCTGAAATAGAAAATATTCGTGTACCGCGATGCTACTTGAATGCCTGCACTAGTCACGATATTCAGCTGCACGTTTTCTGCGACGCAAGTGAAGCTGCTTACGCTGCGGTCGCCTATTTAAGAGCAGACCATAAGGGCGCTATAATTGGTCTTCGCATTTCAAAACTCATCAAGCAGGAAGTGACGCTGCCGGTGACCAAAACCATATTTTGGACGGACTCCAAAAATTTCCTTCATTGGATTCGGTCAGACGCTCGGAGATATAATCAATTTGTGGCTCTCCGGGTAGGTGAGATTTTGGAATCGTCGAACCCCTTTGACTGGCGTTGGGTGCCATCAGCTGAAAACGTAGCCGATGAAGGCACAAAGTGTAATCAACACACACGGATGGATGGTGATTCGAGATGGTTTCGTGCCCCCGAATTTTTAGTTTTACCACCGAAAATGTGGCCTGAAACGCACTTACCCGGCAACACAGATCTTGAAGTACTACACCATATTCAAATCGAGCCAACGTCGAACTCACCATTATCGGCGATTATGCCAAACGCCGAGCGATTTATTAAATGGGAAAAATTTTGCGCTGCTCAAAGAAATGTTCTGCATTTCCTCCAAAGATTGATGCGGTAACCAGCACAATCGAATCATCTACAGTTAGCCCTTTCGTGTCCCACAATCGAAGGCGCTGAGAACCTGATCATTCTAAACTGCCAACTCGAAGCCTTTGGTGAAGAAATCAACTGCTTACAACGAGGTTTATGCGTGAGTCGAAAAAGTCTCATTTTTAAATGCTCTCCTTATCTAGATAATGCCGGAATACTCCGCGTTAAAGGAAGAATCGACGCAGCAGAAGGCATTCAATTCGATACGAAAAGGCCAATTAACCTGCCAAGCAAAAGTCCTGTTACTACACTCATCGTTGATTTCTATCATAGTACCACCACTTACACAACGAAATCGTTGTGAACGAAATTCGCCAGAAATATTGGATGAACGATTTAAGGGCGTTGGTATCGTCAATTGGCAGGCGCTGATACAAGTGCGTTACAGGCAACGCACAGCCGCGAGCACCGGAGATGGGGTCTTTACCGCCAGAACGTCTTGCGTTGAACACACGTCCCTTCACATATAGGGGGGTAGATTATTTCGGCCCTATTGATGTGCTAGTCGGAAGACGACGTGAAAAACGGTGGGGCGTGCTCTTCACGTGTCTCACCGTCAGAGCCGTGCATATCGAGATTAACATTCGCTCTCAACTGATGCCTTTCTTCTTGTTTTGAAACAATTTACAAGCCGACGTGGCGTGCCGCGGCGTGTGCTATCAGGCAATGCTACGAACTTTCGCGGAGCGAGCCGATTCCTTCTGATGGAGATGGAAAGGCTCTCTTCAGACGACATCGAGCAACGTTACCCGGAAATCGAATGGTGCTTTATACCCCCTAACGCACCGCATATATGTGGAGCATGGCAGAGAATGATCCGCTCCGTAAAGTCTATCCTCTTCGAAATTCTACGCGAAGAGGCAGTTCAAGAATATGTTCTAAGGGCTGTACTAGCTGACGTGGAGTGTATAGTAAATTCCAGGTCGCTCACTTATGTGCCTTTAGAGACGCCAAATGATGAGGCTCTTACCCCCAACCATTTTTTGACTGGCAGTTCGAGCGGTCTGCGTGAACGTGATATTGAAGACGGTGGTGGCTACGAAGGAATTTTAGAAATTAATCGCAAATAGCAGATCGGTTTTGGAAGCGCTTTGTACAAGAATATTTGCCCTGCCTGACACGGCGCAGTAAATGGTACGAGAATCCCCCAGATTCGATTGTTGTAGGCGACATTGTCATTGTCGTAGATGACAAAAGCAAACGCAATACCTGGCTAAAAGGCGTTTTTATGGAAGTGCACCGTGCGAACGACGGCCAATTTCGTAGTGCCGTTGTTAAAACCGCCTCAGGGATGATGACTCGGCCTGTGGTCAAACTAGCGAGGCTGGATCTAGTTCAGTAAATTTTCAGACGGCGCACAGTGCTTTCCTTCCATATGAAATGTGGGCAAAAATAGAATTATGGACGGATTTAAATGAAAATTCGCTTGTTAGCAAAATTTAGGACGCTAAATTCAAATATGCAATTGTTTTAGGATAACTTTCATATTTTCACTGTAAATGCAGTTTTGAAGTTGAAAATTTGGGTTCTTGTGGCTTTTACATAGGTATGTACAATACATACCATTCTACTTTCCAAAGTGAGGTGTGAAATGACAGGGCTTGGCCTGTAGATGTGTAATAACGTTTTGTATTTTTTAAAAGAGTTGCCACCTGTTACTAATTTTAGTAAAATTATTTAATAAGTTAAATGAATAAGATGTTACAATATGGGCATCAATTGAACTAGTTTTGAAAATACTTTACCTCTAAATGACACGTAGAAGGGTCGCCACATGTTTAAAAATCAAATTCACTTTAATTAAGGGAAAAAGGTAACTGAAATATGTATAAGAATATGAGTATAAGACAAATGAAAAAATTTTACATATTTAGCAATAAATAAGTGGAGAGGAAAAACATTCCTGAGTTAATTTAAGAGTCCAGTAATTTAAAAGGAATGTAATCAGAATAAATCACTGATTGACAATATATGTATTTGTACTAAAACAACAAATACAATGGCGTAATCCTATGGTGTGACGTAACTATTATTTTATTTTAACTTAATTCGACTTTACAAACAGGTGGCAACCCTATTCGTAATATATTTAAGCTAAAACCATCTTAAACCTCTTTCGTCTGACTACCTTATGGTGATACCTATTTATTTCAATTACCTAATTCCTTCAGTTCAAGTGGAATTTGATTTTTTAAACAGGTGGCAACTCTCTACATGTAGTTAATACACATTTTGATAATTCTTTTAATAATTGATTTAAATTGTAAAAAAATTTTAATTCAATTTTTTAACAATCTAATTTTTTAACAGGTGGCAACTCTCAAAAAAAAATAACCCTATTGTCCACAGGTTAAGATTTTTAATCTGACATTTAATTTTAGAAAATGGAACGAATCGTGCAGATCTCAAAGCACTGACGAAAAATGGAAAAAATATCTTATGCCTTAGCGAAAAACGCATTACTTCAGAAAGTGCAAAAAATGAGCAGGTTTTTATTTCTTCCTTTGAAAGCTAAAAGCCTGTACTATTTAATAAAATAATAAAAGATAAGCTATTTTTACATATACTTTTTATTCATTCCATTAAAATCTAGCATTTTTTGAAATTTTGTTTAAAAAAATCGTCTTTTTTGGAACGCCGCAGGGACACCCTGTGTTTAAATTTATCCCAAAATTTTAATTCCTGTAATTCTCTACTATCTATATGGAAACAAGAAACGTCAAACCAACATTTTATTTTAAAGAATATATGCTATGCTTTTATTAAAATTCTTAGTATAAAATTGGTCGCTTTAGTGGCTTCCTGGCGGCATATAATTATTTTTTTAGGGAAATGTCTGTTTAATTCTTTTTAGTGGATAAATTGTCTTTACAGAAATACCAAACAAGTTCACATTGCAGATAACGAATTTTTCGATTTATGCCCACTTAGGCGGCACTGTGCGGCGCTTCAAATTTAC